TGGTTTCATGATGCTGACAGGGCTCCTCTTTTTTTCTACCTTTTTTAAAATGGGTCTTTTGTTTGGCTAGTTGCTCTCTCAAGCCTGCTACTGCCATAAGTAGCGTTTTTTGCATACCATATTCTGCGAACTGCATTAAGTGCCACATTTTTGTTATGAAACAGTTTGCCTGGTTCAAATTATAATTTCACTCTTCCTGCCTTTTGCTGGTAAATCTGTTTTGTTTAACTCTTGGAAACCTTACCTAAGTTCTCAAAAAGTATGGCTTGCTCTTGGCTCTGATCCTAATGGAAAAAATGAGCATAGTCTCTTATTTCAGGTTAGAAATTCTCCATGTACTTTGTTAATAAATGGAAATCTTGGAGCTAAAAAGTAGACTTCATTGGAAAGCCTGCTTATCTGTCTTTAAAGGGCAATTGAATGTTGCCAGATGTCAAACCAAGGGCTGGTGAACAAGCAGTCTGTTTAAATCTACATTGTCCTTAATACTTCTGCCTACTCATCATAGTACCAAAAGTTTATGAAATGTTACTGCCCTGGTTTTAGGGTTATAGAATTACATTATTTATGTTACTGAGATAAAGGGCCAGGATTGAAATGATGAAATTATATTCTACAGTGGGCCAAGAGCCAGCAAAAGACTTTGAATAGAAAGAAAATGATCAGATACTAGTATAGAACTACTGGTAACCTCAGATGGGAGGTTGATTAAGAGGTGCTGACTATACTTCCAGGAGCTCCTAGGTATTCTTTCCTGCCTGTCCATTCACTCCAGTGAACATCTTTCAAACTCTTCATTGCTTTGTACCCTTTTTCCTAAATCTTTGGTTAGAGGCCTTGACTTTCTCCATTCCTGGGGACTACTCTCTGCCTAGGATCCCTAGAGCCATGGTGAAAAGAGGTGCTGGGTGAGGGAGGGAAGGAATTCCATTGTTTGGACTGGGAGGTATTACAGATGGTGTGAGGAGGATTTCCTGGTATGCCAAGTGGAACTTTGTATTTTTCTCTAGAAATAGTGTTAAAGAGTTAAATTAGAGATTTCAGTTGTTGGTAATGTTGTTAGCATGGGCATGATGTAACAGAGCCCCAGATGGAGCCTCTCTACATAGTATATTCTCCCTCCCTCCCTCCCTCCCTTTCTCCCACTCT